ATCACCAAGTGAAGGAAGCTGCAACAGAGGACTTTGTGGCCACACCACTGAAATTTTAAGCAGCTGTCTCCCAGGCATCAATCCACCTAATGCAATTCACCACATCCAAAACTGACAGCTGAGCTCTCAGCTACATGACCAAAGAAAGTCAGGAACCACAGGAGACCCACCACAGGCAGAACCACAGTGCTGAAAAAGGAGCTTTGTAACCTAGTCCATGAGAAAGCCTGACTGCAGAGATAAGGGCTGAAAAGACTTCATCTGAGCTGGAGATCAAGTGACTGCCTCCTTTATTCAGGCACTTGGAAGTGCTGCCAAGGGCAATGCTTGGAGTCAGCCCATGCTTTCCTTCCATCCCGCCTGCTAAAGTTGTTCCAGGGTTCATGGGTTTGTCAACAGGCCAGAGGCAGCAAGGCGGTGAAGGGAGGGGAGACAAACAGGGAGGGATCATCTGCTGTGGAAGAGACCTGACCGCTTATTCCCTCTCTGCTGAATAGCTTGGTACATTCAGGTTTCTCACACATTTACTAGCTTAGTTGCTATCTGCAAATCCCATCTGTCTTGGTACAAGGGTGGCCTCAGGACCCTTTGAAGGGATGGTAAGAGATGGTAACATCACCATGAGCACAGACAGGATCGGTGAAGATCAGGACAGGCAAAGTGAACCAGACCTGTAGACACTGCAATTAGGTGCATTCCTGGAGCCCCCTTAAGTGATAGGTTGAGGGTCATATTTCTTCTCAAGTATCTTCCTTGGAGGGCCCCCTGCTCGTATCAGAGCATGATTTTGGATCTGTACAATGCAATGGCGTATACATTTGCTTAATCTGAAACCCAGTGCAGAGATAACTCCTGATACCCATGGTTTTTCAGCCTTTAGATGAGGAGATACATGCCCCCTCACAAGAAGAGAGAGCCGGTGTGTAAAAAGATGGCCAGCACTGGTGCCGCTTCTCCTGGCCACCCAGGAGGAAAAGCCTCATTTTAGCAAAGAGCTCTGGATGATGACTGTCTGCTGTGTCTTAGCTGCAGGAGCACTGAAGTAGAGCAGGATCATAGATGCAGCCTTGTTCGTAACCTGACTTTCTCCAGGCAGCTGTGCGCAGGGCACTGAACTGGCTGCTTACACTCCAGAAAGGGCCAAAGGTGGTACTTTAAGAAACGAAGTTTCCTTACTGGCTGCCGTCAGCCTACATGCCTGGTTCTGTAAGTATGCATCTTCACTACTAAATTTAGCTGATAATCTTTGGATATGCTTCTCTTCTTTCTCTTTTCTTCCCATCACAAGCACAGGCACACAATGTCTCTCCCAAAAGCAGTGTAAAGAAAGCAGTTAATAGAAGCAAAACGTCAGTAATGGCATTGCAACTTCCAGTTTTACAATAATAGCCATGAGATGTGGTTGCTTTACATGTTGCTTCTTTCCTAAATCAGGGGCAGAATTGGAACAGATTCCTTTTCAAGCATCCAGCTAAACAGCCAGCAATGAGATTTAATTTAATTCAGAAAACAGGTTCTCGCTAATTCCTTCAGAGAATTTTCATGATAATCATTTGCACAAAGACACAGGTCACGACTGACAGAGATGATGTGGCTGCCACCAGCTTACTACATAGTCAAAAAATTAGGCACCTGACCCGCTGGATGACTCAGAAAGAGTCATTAGCTGCCCACGGATCCAGTACAGCCAACTGCGAGAGCAATTAACTAGTGACTAGAGAGAATTAAACTCCTCAGAAAGATAATCCACACAAAAGCCCTACACACAGAGCTGGAAGCTGCATAGGTCTAGCTAATAAAAAGGCTGAGAAAGGGATGTTTTAGAGTACTTCTCCCTCTCCTGAGCTTAAACAGCTCATTTGCAGCTGCATGTTACATGCTCCTGTGTAATTCAGAGCCTTTTGTCATAAGAAAGCACCAGTTCAGCAGGAATTATTTTAAAGGGGGCAGGGAGGATGGTGATGAGTACACCCATCTCAGCTTGAAGTCATTCAGGAGTGCACCCCCCATCTGCCAACAAAGTGCCTTGAGTAAAAAGCGACCAGAGATGGATGTGCTGGTCCCTCATCCTTCCTCCCTGGGCTGGGTGACTGCTCAGTAGTGAATGTGAGAGGAAAAAGTGATGGGCAGAGGTGGTCCATGGGCACCAGTGACCCCTGTCCCAGGCGGGCACTGCCTTCCCTGTCCCCGTTTGGGCGCCCGTGCTGAGCCCAGCGCTGCCAGCAGTGGAGACAGGGCACCCCAGCGGGCACCGCTCCATGCCCCCAGCCCACACTGACTCCAGGAGCTGAGGTCACATTTTGCACTGATTTGTATGACCAAAATCCCAGGGTGTCCTGGGCTCTGCGGAGACTGGGGATGGTGTGTTTTCGGCATTGTTTCCCTCAGCTTAGGAGTCCGTGGGACTCCTTCCCTCTGGTTATGGGACAGAAGAGTCCCTTTTCAGCTCACCCTGGCAGTAATAGCTTCAGTACAATTTATGCAACAATAGATTGCAGGTATTTACTAACACCTGCATCTGTAGTTTGGGATGAGTGGAACATTAAAACCTGTAAAACCAACCTTTACAATCAGACTTGCTACAGGATTTCCTCCAACCGTTTTGTGATGTGTCTGTGCTCAACTTTCTTCCTTTTTAAGTATTTCATATAAAGTTTAGCTGTACTTCTTCCTGTCACCAAGGAGACAGCTTTCCATGGTTGCTAGACCAAGACTATTTTTTACAAAGGGAGAAAAAGCTTTCTGGTGTCACCAGGTAATTTCCCAGTACGCCGCGAGAGGGCAGGTTGTGTTCTCTATACAGCTTGCTTTAGCCAGATTCTTACAAGCAACTGTTCAGACCAGTCACAGTATTAAAGCCCTAATTATTAAACTAAGGCTCAGCGAGTGGAAAGAGTAACGCATGGATCTTTGACCCTAGCATTTTTTTATGTGCATAGTATCAATCTAATGCCCTCATTGCTTTTCTTCTGGAAAGGAAAACACCTTTCTACTCAATTTACAAAGGAGAACTGAGCAACTCTCCCTTCTTTTACCCACCCGCTCTTAGGCAGAAGCAGTTCTAACAAGTTAGCTGCTATGCTACACTTTTTACATTTCTCCCCTGGCTCTCTCCTTCCTCTACCCCACTGCCACTGCCACTTGCCCGTAACCAGGGCAGCTTGCAAAGCAAACACTTGGGACAGCAGTATCCAAACCTCCAAGGTGGTGAAGCTGGTTAGGCACACACTATGCCCTGGGACCCCAAGGAAAAATCTCATTCACCCTTGGAAGGAGCAGCCTAGCCTGTCTCCTAAACTTCGGCATTCACATCACATGAAGTACAAAAAGGTGTCAATCTCCATCCAACGGCATCTCGGTACTGGACCAGGAACTGGTCGTGGAGTGCTGGAAAGTGGCTGACAGCTCCTCCTTGAGAAGGACATGTGGAGAACTCAGACCTGGCCGCAAACTGAGACTGATCAGGGTCCAACTGATCTGACACATGCCCAAGCCAGGTCTCTGGAGACCTCAGCTGATGTCCTCAGCACCAAGTAACACTGGTCCCTACACCATCAGGCTTGGGTAAAAACCCCCAAAAAGAAATCTGAATTGGCAGCTCGGGTACTGGGCTGAGCGGCTGTACAAAAAGTGCTCCAACCATTGACATCCTGGGCACGAGCCAGGAACAAGTGCACTGGGACCCCCCCAAAGGCACCACAAAACAGCAGAAACAGCAGCAGACCATTGTCCACCTGATGCAGCTAGGGCTATCTGAGCATGCGGTGCGCAAATCATAATTTTTCTTTGCCCCAAAAAGTCTGCGTTTTAGAAGTAAGTTTTGTGAGTTACACATATTCAAAGCTAAGTATATATGAAGACCTCCTGAGATCTTCGTTCTAGTCCACATGGCTAGTATTGAGCAGGCCTAGAAGAAATATCAGAAATTGTTACTAACTGGAATTTTTTATTCAAGGTTACAAAAGCAGAGGTTTTCTAAGACTCAGGACCTTACAAAAGGCAAAATCTGAAGGCTCCATTAATGTAATACATTAAGCACCAAAGCTGACACAATCTGTTCAGGACTTCATTTGCTGTGTAAAAACCCTGTCTCAAGACAGGAGAGTCACCCGCATGGTCCAAATAAAGAAATATATATGGAATGTATGAAGGAATGTTTAAGACTGGGTCTAGGGACTTGATCCCCCACCTGCAGAGCTGCATAATGCGAGCTATCTCAGTCTTGTTACCTTGAGTCCTGGGTCCCAGACTTTGGAAATTTAAGTGTAGATTCGTGAAACGGTGCCGCAGAGCCAAAATAGAGAAGGATGAGCACCATTTTCAACTTCTGTCACAGGTCCCTAACACAGAGGTAAAACACAAGTGTATACCTAGCTGTCAGGGAACTCCTGCTCTTAAATTTTAGGAGAATTTGAGTTTGGAGGTTTACCTACTGCTAACATCAGCTTGATTGGAAATAACATATGGAACTGATCACGCTTCTGAAATAAACTGTAACCAGGGGGTTCCTACAGTATTCTGTCAAACAGCATGAAACATTTTGAACCTTAAAAAAAGACTATGTTATTCAGAATATTTATTGACAGCTGTAAAATAATATGTTAGTCAAATATATATGTAGAGTTAGTAACTTTCAGCACACCTCTGAGCTGCTAAATGAAATCAAAAACACATTGAGGTGAAAAATTATTGTGGTTATTCAAGTTGGTTTTCTTCTGTTCGGATTCTAGCTGTCTTGATCTGAATCTATAGAGGATGACTTACAAGTGTCACACACTCCAGATAACGTTTGGTAATGAGAAAAGTCTGGCCTGCCCTGGGCCTTGCACATACATACCCAGAGACTCCATATATTACAGTTCACAAGATAACGGGAAAACCTGAACGAGAACAATGTAGTCAGCTGCCAAAGGAGTGTGTGATAAGCTCTCAGCTAAGATCTCAATAAGGCAATCAAGGTCACTTCCTACAAGAATCAGCAAAGAAACAAAGCGAGGGTACTAGGCCTCTTCCATGTACTTTTTGGGGCTGAAGCTCACATTCATCAGTGGTTCAAAACCTCTTCTCTGCCTTCGGCGCTGGAAAAGTACAAGCAGCAGAACGAGCACAGCCAGAGCTATAAGTGCCCCTCCAATTGTGGATCCGACCATGACAGCCCACGCTTGGGTTTCTTCAAGTGAATCTGGAAATACGAAACATCTGAAGTGAGGACAGCCCATAATTTCATTTCTCATATCACAGGGCCTGGTAATTATGATTACTTGTGTGGCTCAGAGACCTGCTGGCCACAGGGGAAGCAGGTAAAGCACCGTGTAACCAACACACGTACCAGAGCCAGAGATGTTTCCTGCCGGAGAATTCTACAGCTGAATTTAAACTTCAACCTTTCATACAAATTAAAATGTTGAGAATGGGAAAGATCAACAGTGACAAGACAAAAAGCTCATTCTCTTATCTAATTTGGCCAAAATTATGAATGATTTAAGCAATTCTTTCTATAATGACATTTCAGCATAGCTCTTTCCAAGCTATTTTGGTCAACAGATCGCATCCTCTGATTTTGAACCACTCCTGGGGAGACACTTCTGTCTTCTAAGATGATGTTGCCCATCCTTATAATAACCCTGCTCCACTTGGCTGAATAACTTTATTTTGTGTTTTCATTTATGCTTTCAGAAGCAAAAATTGTCTGCTGTCCTGTTCTGAAAAATGCTACATATACCAAGATGGCACTAACTACATTTGCCTAAATATTCAGAAAAAAACTCTCAAAAGGGCTTAAGATATTTAGAAGGTACTTAGACTTACGGGCTTAAACCCAGATGGCTCAAGGAGATGTCACACTGACTATAAAAGTGACTAAAAGTTGCGTGCCCCAAATCCGCAGTCTCTGTCAACAAGAGCTGAGGGCAATCGTGCCCAAGTTCAGTAAGGTCCCGAAATGAATTGTTTACCACTTTACCATCTCTCAAGTAAGAGCCAGAAATGTATTACATAGGTTGATTTCTAATGTGGTTACATGAACTGGAATTAGCAAGCTATGTGTTTATCTAAAAGAGAAGGGTTTGGATGTAAAAACTCCATTGTCTGAACGCTGACCGTGCAGACAGGGATAGACACGCTGCTTCACAGTGAGCAAACCATTTATTTAGGTGGGAGTTGAGAAGCAGCAGAATCACAAGCTAACTTTTTTCCTCCCCAGGTACCCCATGCCCAATGGGCAGCAGCATTTCCAAAGCAGGAGAGGGCACAGTGGTCCAGAGGGAGGAAAACTTAAACTCCATAGGAGCAAAAGTTTAAATTTTCAGGGGAAATGCTGGGGACACCCCTGAGAAAAGCACTGCAGAAGCAGCTAGCATGCCTCCACAAGTCAGGGCTCTCCTGCATGAATGCAGCCTGAGGACAAGGGATTCAATCTTTTGCAGTCTATAGACATTTAAACAGTCTCCACAGATTAAAACCACAGATATGTGGTAAGCATTTAGAAGAAATTTCTGGCCACATAGGTTAGATAAGCTCCTACTGCCTCTCAAAGGAATACCGAGGTGGAGAAAGAAACTGCTCGGATTTAATCTTTGGTAAAGCATCTGAAGCATGGGTTTCATGCATTTCTTACTCTTGTGCCTTTTACAAATATTTGTGCATAAATACTTTGCTTTCTTGGTTTTTTGTCTTTATCTGATTTGTGTCAATGGTAATTTCAAACGAATAGACAAACCCTAGGGTACATCACACCCACGGACATGGAAAATCTTTAAAATTGGGGTTTTATAACACAAAACACCCAGGTACATCTCCCCAGGGTATCCAAAGATTAATGGAGTTCATCTCTAATGAGATTCACAGCACAGTGTTATTCAGGGCACTGTGCATATCAAGTATTTTCTAATGATCGGTGTTAGCCAGACGAGCTCCCTGGCAGAGCGCCTGACCTCTGACAGGTTAAAGAATCCTGTAAGAGGCATAAACAGTGCTGGGAGCAGAAGCCAAAATCAGAGACTCCTCGGCCCCGAAGGAGCACCGTCGGCAACGCCAGAGCACTTCAAGTTGCTCCATTTTGCAGCAGAGCAAACCACGTATGTGCGCACTTGTAGTTACCATGGCTTACTCGGTGAGTTGTAACTACCTGTGCTACAATATGTGATTGCTAGCGAGCAGGTGAGTAGACCCAAGTGTTTTGTGAAAAGTGCCTTATTTTCCAAATGCCTCTGTCGTTGAAAACGTGAACTGTCTCATGTCTCGGCCTGGAACAGCCCCCACACCTCTGAGACGTACCTGGCAGGTCAATGGCATAGGTGTAGCCAAGCTGCTCCGCAGTTTGGAAAAGCTCGTTGTTGGTCACAGGAGGGAAAAAAGGGACCATGTTATACAGCCTGTTGTGACCGATGGGGGCCAGCTCCTCAGGCCAAGCATCGTCAAGAACCTGCAAATCCAGGCATGGGCACGCATATTTATTAAGCTCTTTTAGAACTCAACAGCATTTAAAACACTCTCGCCGACGGTGGCAGTAGCTTTTGAAAGAGAGAGAAGAGGGTAGTCTAATTTAGGTGGGATTTCCAGAATGGGAAACCAGGAAAGCTTATGAGAATGGAGTAAATTGATCTCCTGCGTGGGACATTTTGCTGTATACGTCCTTGTTGCTCTTTGCTCATAATAAGCTCTTTCTCCAGACAGTTTAATATCAACTGGCATTGAATGGGCAGGTCCATCACCTTGGGTGAGGGCCCACTGAGCTCTTCCAGGTGAATGTACCTCTCAAACGTATTTTAATCTCTCTTGTCTCTGAACAGGTAGGGAAAATCATGGGAAATTTTATTCCTTCATGCTCATTTTAGAGTATGCCACCAGCTCCACAGCTGCAGGTACCCATGAATTCGATCAGGTCTTGCCCCGTGAGTTTATAGGTATATAAAGCACTAATACAAGAAAGTTCTTTCCAAGTTGAGTTCAGACAACTATTACAAATGTCTGGGGCAGTTCAAGTTAATTTCTGATGTACTCATGTTTTTTAATTATCACTCCGGAAAAAATTTAGAAAATATCTTACAGAAAATAATCGTGCATACAAAATTACAAAATGCTGAAATGAAGATTTCATTGTGTAAGAAAGGAATTAATGTAGGAATTCAAGAATTACTCAGGAAATAAGCTGGAGAACCACTACCTAAGTATTTAGGCTAATTTCTCCAACAAAAGATTGCAATCTTAAAATAATGGTAAGAAAGAAATTAATTGTATTAGAATTTCTCTATATAATCATCGTGGTTTAATCTAACAGGGAAGAAAAGAAATTGGCATGAATTTATAAGGAGAGAAAGATGGGTAAGCAAAGTCAACTGTTTCATTTGCACATTGCTGTTTGTGCTGCTCCTTGCAGTGCAGCACTCTACCCATGCACCAGTGAAATCACATTATTTCTATTCCCAAAGAGATCCTGAAATTGGATGTGCTTCCTTTTAGCCTGTGATGTTTTAAACAAAGAAACAAACTACTCAGTCTACTGCTCTAAAATAACTAACCTCACTTTCAGTTTTTCTTGCTGCTGTAAAATTGTCTGGTATAAGCCATTAAATTTAGATACTACCTAATCAGAGGATCAGGGCAACATGACTTGGAATAGTAGCTCTTCTCCCTAAAAACTTATTTTATATTTCACAAATCACCCTGAGATTTCTTCCCTCTTGATTTGACCATTATGCAGGTGTGGCAGTGTTCAAGAAAAGAGAAAAGATTTCTCCCTTTCTATTTAAAGGACTTATCTTTAGGGAATTCACTTTACTTCTGTTCTGCAAATCTCTGGTGAGACAGCTGCCTTTGAGCCACAGCCACTGCCACTCAGGCTGGGGGAAAAAGACATACCACGAAGATGGGATCGTTGGCAGCTGAGTGAGGGAGAGCGCTGGTCCCATTCAGGAAAGAGTGAGCCAAATTATGAAGGCTCAGCATCGGTGAGTTAAGGACTCCACCTGGTTTATCGAAGCCCTCCAGCGCATTCCTGTGGATGGGTAAGAGCAGCATCAAGTAACCATATTTTGCTCACAAACACGCACATAAAGAAAACCCATGACCCAGCCGGCTCTGGAGGAGCTGAAGGACAAACCTGAAACTGAAATTGGAATTGCGGAAAAAGGGGGGGCTGTCGAACTCCTGCAGGGAAAGGCACCTCCTGACGTCCTCCGCGGTGGGCAGCCGCTCGCTGGAGCCCCGGGGCGGCCTCCGCCACAGGGGCCCTTCATCACTCCCATTGCACAGCGTGACCAGGCGGTTGTAGTCATCCAAGCTGAGCGTGAAACAGAAAGAGGCACAAGTCAGAAGAAGGTGATGACACCTGGCTTGTTGGCTTTTTCTCCCGTGGTATAAAAGAGACCCTCGGCTGTATGTGTGATACAGCACGGGTTAGGGACTGACACACCCTGGGGCATCTCGGTTCAACTCCCGTGGCCTGGGAGCTGAATTTATTGCAGGACTGCCACCATGCCATGACTTTCCGTGGCTCTGCGGCCTCTGTGGACCATCAGTTGTTTGGACCAAGACTCGCCGGGCTCATCCTCCACAGAGAGTGGGTGCTTTAGAAAAGGCAAACACAACTCCTTTCACACCTACTCCCTTGCTGAGGGCTTCTCCTTCTTCTTTTAGACAATCTAAAAGAGTCATTTGAATTTTGAATTGAAAAACTGTCAGTCCTGATTAAGGACTAGTTTTTTAACTCTTAACAAAGAGGAAAAAACCAGGAAAGTCCCACTGCAGGCTGGGCGAAGAAAATGCAAGGAATGACAGTAAACAGGATTTCACTTTGCTTCCCTCATCCCCTTCAGAAGAAAAGCAACTGCAATGCATTGCATCCTCTTTTTCAGGGCCTGGAGGACATCTTGCTGTTGCAGGGAGTGCCCGCTAGCTAATGGGGAGCAAGTCCTGGGAAGGAGGAGGAGAAAAACAGTGTAACACTTGTGAAAAAATTCCATGCTATTCAGTATAAAATGAAACAGCATTTTCAGAAACTCCTCAAGTAAACAAAAGCCCTTCTCTGTTTGACATTGGCAAGGCAAAAGTTTAGTCACTGCAGTTTTCAAGAAAAAACAAAACCCTATTTATCTTAGAGAAAAAGTAGGGGCAATATTTAAAGCCAACTGGTGCCTAAAGCTAGAATTTCAAGTAGTTCTTTAGGTACCCAGAGAAAGAGACTCTTTTGAAAAGCCCTGAGCTCTCGGTACCTCTGTCTGACTGACTGCACGCTGCCCCGGAGCTGACAGAAGAAGGTTTTACGAGTGTTGTAACCAGCAGCATCTTATGTCGTAGCGCCCCAGTCCTGCACACCAAAGCCCTGCCTGCACCTGAATCAGTACGTGCCTACAGACAGCTGGCAGCGAGCATGGGGCTGTCTCTGTGTTGTCTTCCGTGTGAAATCTCAGCCACTTTCAAGTCAATACCCAAACTGCACTAAATATATCGGGTTATGATTTCACCCAATACAAGGGAACGGATTTTTCAGCCTATCTCTAGCTTCCTCTATATGCCAAAACAGTTTTCTGTTTCTGCTGCCAAAATCAGCTGGGTGTTTGTTACAGAGAACCGACGCACAGGCATTTCTTCTTTAAAAAGATACTTGCCAATGTGCAAACTCTTCAGGCTTTTGGCAGCCTCAAATTGGCTGAATCGACTAAAATTCTGTACCAAAAGAATCATCTTTAAAAATATACTTCCATAATACCAGGGGGGAAGTTTACACAGCACAATCTACACACAAACCAACCTTGATTCCTAGTTTTAAAAAAGATGCCTTGGCTCTTTTCCTGCCGCTCAATCACTGAGAGAGCAGCCTGCGCTGTCAATACTGAATGAAAGCAAGGTTTGGTCGGTATATAAGCTTGCCCAAGATATTCTCGTACCTGTTACAAACTATTTGCCACTGGGAGAACCTGGAGCTCAGGCTGATCAGCCCCGGGTCGTCCAGCCGCGATGCTCCGAAGAGCTGGTCCGTGCAGATGTCGCACTCGTTTCTACCCGTGGCGAAGTTCCAGTAGGGCAGCGCGAAGGAGTCGTTGCCTATCAGGCGCTGCAATGGACAGAAACGCGTTAGCGGGGAATCACCTTCAAAGGAAAGAGAAAGAAAGGGACTCTTGCAAGTTGTTTCACTGGGTATTCATTGGATATTTCACTAGATACTCTGCTTTTCATTCTGCCTTTCAACTACACGCACTTCACAGTGCTGCTCCAACTCCTTTCAAAAGATTGGGGCATTAAGTTAGTCCTAGAAAAGACATTGTCACTAGTTATGCCGCTCTTGGCCATGTTAGGCTTTCTACCAACTCAGAGATCAGGCAGGAGAGCAGGAGCAGAGGTGAAGTGAGCCTTAAGGAACTATGAGGCGTTCTGTGGTGTAAGTGGGTAATGGGTAAAATTGTGCATGTGGTTTGCTTTCGCTCCAGAGAGGCTAGCCCTGGGGAAGAATCTGAACTTCTGTTAATAGAGGAATACAGTGCATTTGCTTGTGCTTGCTTGTTAGATACAATTTCATGCAAGCAAGATCCTGCAGTTATTTTCATACCAACCATTTTCATTAGAGATCTGCAAGGCTGAAATACAGTAACATTGCCAATGTAGACGTAATGCAAATGGAAATGAGCCAATGCTTCGGCAACTGACTGTCGGGCACGTTAACTTATACTTCTTTAAAAGATGTATTGCTAAATATATGCATGTATTATATGTATAGCATGTGTCCTGGTTTCAGCTGGGATAGAGTTAGTTTTTTTCTTAGTAGCTGGTAGAGCGCTGTGTTTTGGATGTAGGATGAGAATAATGTTGATAACACACTGATGTTTTGGTTCTTGCTGAACAGAGTTTACACTAGTCAAGGACTTTTCAGCTTCTTGTGCTCTGCCAGGTGCATAAGAAGCTGGGAGGGACAATAGCTAGGACAGCTGACCCAGACTGGCCAAAGGGCTATTCCATACCATATGACATCATGCTCAGTATATAGTAACCGTTACGCGTGATGGAGCCCTGCTTTCCTGAGGATGGCTGAACACCTGCCTGCCCATGGGAAGTAGTGAATGAATTCCTTGCTTTGCTTTGCTTGTGCGCGCGGCTTTTGCTTTACCCATTAAACTGTCTTTATCTCAACCCATGAGTTTTCTCACTTTTATTCTTCCGATTCTCTCCCCCATCCCACCGGGGGGGAGTGAGCGAGCGGCTGTGTGGTGCTTAGTTGCTGGCTGGGGTTAAACCACGACAGCATGGCACATTTGAAGGGGGTAATATTTAGAGTTGCTTTCATCAGGAGCGTATCTTCAGCATCAGCAGACAAGATCTGTTACTATGTTTTATGTGTAGGCGTTGCTTTGACTTTATTAATAAATACTGTGAATTCACATCTTCTGTCCCCTGTTGTGGAGATGAAGAAAAAAATCTTCATTATAACCTTCACATCATTGTTCACAGCGGGAAATCGTTCAGTCCTCAATATCTTGAAAGCGCTAATTTCGCTTTAAACAGAAAAGGATCAATGAGTTCCTGGGAGTTTGGGTACGAATCTATCCTAGGAAATAGCTTACCCTTGGCTGGCTCGACAAAGTCACGTAGCAAAAGAGAGAAGCTGCATGAGGAAAGGGAAAGGCTGTTCAGCTAACCTGCAGGTCTCTCTCCAGCAACAGCAAATGGTACCTATGCCAAGTAACGAAGGCAGGTCCTTGATGGGAGAAATCGATACCTGTGAAGGGGTGGCCAGGTCCTACAAAGGGAAGATCAAATAAGCACTTAGGCAACAAATGAGGCTCAAGAGAAAGAGAGCACCTTCTTCTATTGCCTGGAGTGGAGTTAAACAGAAACCTGCAGCTCTGCACCTTCGCAAAGAGTGCACACTTCAGAAGCTACAGCACTTACACGGGACAAGTGAAACAAACTCCTCTGTGGATGTTTGCTTCAGTGCTTCTCAAAACTTCACATTCCCCCAAAAGTTGAATATTGTGAAGATTTCTTATGACTTTAGTGGATTTTGGTTTTAAGAAGCAGTCTTATTGTCAAAAATCTTAGCTCCTTGCTAATAGGCACCGTATTATCTCGTTCTTTTGCTCAGTGGCAGCACTTACACCATGTACCTATCAAGAGGACCTCAGCATTTTCCATAACCTGGCAACAGTAATTCAACATGTCCTTTGCCAATTTTCTTCAAATTGTGCTTGTTATTTCTTGTATTGTGCTCTTGTTATTACACATGAGAACTAAGACACTCAAAGGCTAGGGGCTTCAAACCACATATGGATTTGTTTATCACTGCAGCAAGCTTCAACCCACATAGGAATTCATTTATCACTGCAGCAGCACTGGAAGTTGCCTCCTGCCCTTTCCCCGTGACCGTCCTGTCCCCTGATGGACCTTTGCTCTCGCTAGGCCAGAGACTGCTTCCTTCAGCCCTGCAAAACAGAAGTCAGAAGCCCTGCAAAACAGAAGGTCAGAAGGGGAGACTGAAGAAAACCACACTGCAGGGCAGCAGATACCCTCTAGCAAGGAGGTAGATATGGGCTGTTCAGCTTGCACGTAGGACTGACAGGCAGAAAAGCCATACTGCTGCCTCCTCTTGCGAGAGCGGGGCTCTACAAAGTGGGACTGGCACAGGTACTTCCGTCTAGAAGAGCAATGAGGACTAGGAATCCTGATCTGGGTGAAAGCATGGGGTTAGATACCCAAATCTCTAACTTGGTTTGGTTTTAAAAGCTGGCTGTGGTTAGTCAGGCAAATCCCATCCTTAGTAGCACTTCAGTCCCCAACATCTCTGCATAGTCTCTGCCTTCACAACTGCAGAGCCCCTTTCCCACTGCTGCTGCACCTACCTTGTCCTGTTGACTAGGAACATCTTTTTGAAGCGAATCACTGCCTGACCACACTTTGGTTCACCCAGCAGTGGAGCCTGTGAACTGCCTCCCTGTCTGATGGAAGATGCACCAGGAGCGCGGCTGGTCTGCTCCAGCCCCCACAGGACGTTCAGTCGCAGGGACCAGACTGCAGCAGGTCTGAAGCAGACCTCCCTCGACTGTGGGTGGCCACCAGCTCCTCAGCACCAACTGTTGCGCTCCACAGATCTGCTCCTACTGGGACTTACTGCTCGCTAAAGTAACACAGCTGTGTTAAGCATACTTACCTTTGTTCAGCAATGATACTTTTCACCCTCTCCTTTACCTGCACAGCCCCTTGGATAAGAAAAGCACAAACCTAATAGCGTGTCTCTGACTGAGTAGTAATGAAGCCATACAAAGTAGTTATAAATACTACAGTTGGCAATTTGCGGTTCCTCTCCGGTGGGGCCAAGCAGACTTATCCAGTGCTGAGTTGCAATTACGTAGTCTGGGTGAATGGTTGTCTTTGCACGGTCTAGAGCGTCGAAGAACTGCTCCCTCTCCTCTGCCGTCAGGGAGTGGACATCCTTCCTGACAACTGGTGGCTTCCTCACGTTGCAGTCAGGGCCAGTCCAGCCAAACTTGCAGTCACCACAGTTATAGCCAGCAAAGTTTCCTGAATCAAGAGG